TTTTCTCCCCTCCCGCCCGGCTGCCCTGCGGTCAGTCCGGACGGAGTGCAGGACGGAGGCTTCCCTCCGTGGCTGGTATAGGGAACTCCCTGCCCCCAACGTTGTTCCCTCTCCTCTGCCCCAAACCTGTCCCCCACCCTCCTCTGGCCCCGTTCCCTCTCCCTTGCCCCTCCACCCCGCTGTATAAACCCTTCCCCACTCTGCAGAAACTTGTCCCACGGCACCCTGCCCCCCCTGCAGGAACCGGTTCCCTCTGGCACCCTGTCTCCTACTGCAGAAACCTGTCCCCCCCCCAGCACCCTGTCCCCTGATGCAGAAACCTGTCCTGGCACCCTGCCCCCTCTCCCCTGCCCCCACTGGCACCCTGTTCCCTGCTCCAGAACCCACTAGCACCCCTCCCCAGTACTGTGTCCCCTGCTCCCAAATGACTTTTCTATGGGTCAGTGACCTAGATTTTCTCTGTGCATGGAGCAGCTACAGGAATTGTGCGTAGCACACATACATATTTGTCAAAGATGTGTTATTGTCCCCTTCTCCACCTCCTCCTCCATCCAGATTTCCTCCCAGAGCTTGCACCTCTCACCCCTTCCCACACCCAAATCCCTCATTCCCACCGCAGAGACTACACATCCTGTCTCAACCCAGCGGGGGTCCGGCTAGACTGCAGGAGTTTTTCAGGATTCTGGAGATATCTCAGAAAAACTCTTCTGCATCCAGGGTTGCGTTTGTTCTTCCGCTTTTTTAGTGGAAGAACAATCTGGCTCTTTCGGTCACCCCTATATTCCTCTTTCCCCAAGGAATAAGGTGGCTTCCAGAAGAAGGGGTTTTTTTCTGACATTTGGTCCAGTCTAGACAGGACAAATCTTGGAAAAACCTCATTCTACAGAAGAATTAAAAAAAAAAAAAAAAAAAAGCAGCAGCATAAGAATTGGGGATAGCAAGTGATGGAGAGGAGGAGAATAGAGAGGGCGGGGCTTCAAATAAGGGGCGGGACGGTAGATCTTGGCTTGGTCTGTCATTTAAAAAGTGCTCTTGGGTGTAAAAAGGTTGGAGACCACTGATCTAGTCTGACCCCCTGCACAGTGCAGGCCACAGAATCTCACCCACCCCTACTAGAATAATCCTCTCACCTAGATCTCAGATATTGAAGCCTTCAAATAGTTTGAAGACCCCAAGATGCAGAGAATCCTCCAGCTGTGATCTGTGCCCCATGCTACAGAGGAAGGCGAATGTGTGGCTAGGAAGCATATAAAGCTGAGCAGTTATGCAGTGCATTGTAATAATTATAGCCCCCGTTCTCCCTTACGGCCTTGCTGCTAACAGCTAAGAGCAGCCAGGAAACGATCTTCATCAGCCACCTGAAGATTTCCCTAGGGCCACGGGCCCACTCTGAGAAAGCTGCTAATAGGCTGCTCCGGTTTGTTTATTTACCAGCTCCCCAACCACGGAGCCTCACGTCCCCCCACTGGCTTTGGTTCGCCATTTGCAGCCAACAAATGAGAAACATTTCCAGCCAACGGCAGCCATGGGAAGCAGCGGCCTGTGGCCCACTTTGAGAAACACGGCTCTAGGGGAAGGCGAGTTTCTGGATCAACCTACTGGCGCTCCAAGTTCACAGGATGAGGCCAGAACACTGCTGCCCTCATGTAATCCAGGGCAGCCACAAATTACTTTTGGGGCTGCCTATAGCCGAACAAACCTTAGAACTGCCCTAAAGCTGCAGTGAGTTGTGTCCTGGGCTAAACTGGCCCCCGGCTCCAGGAACCTCAAAGCAACATGAATCTGTGACCCTCAAACTCTCTGCACGACAGTCACACACTAGCAGTTTGCGTTATTCTCGTCACTAGGAATTTCCATGTCTGGAATGAAAGCTGGTTTACCCGAAAGGACCTCGGATCCTCCTACAACGGATGGCAAATTCTGGATGCGACCCCCCAGGAGAGAAGCGCAGGTACAAGGACTTTAGTTCGGGAAAATGTTTAAGCAGGGGGACAACAGTGACTCTCAGGGCATGGTGGGGAGGGTGAGGAATTCAGCTGTGGCTGAGCATCATTTCTCTCCCTGACCAAACAGGGGAGGGAATGAGCACAAGCATCCTTTTCCAGCATTAAAACCTCAGCTTATTCCTTTGTGCCAAGCACAGAATAGCCCTCCCTGTGCAGCTTCTACACAGACATCTGCAGCTATTGCAAATTAGACAAACTGGACTGATCATGAAAACAAATAAATACAAAGACTATGCTGCTGACTACACTGGATGACTTTAAGGGAGAGGGCTGGAGCGGGGGAGGGGGGCAGGGCTGTATCAGTCAGGGGCCCTTGACACACAATTTAGGTTTAATGTGCTCTGCTTACGTTGGATTCGAGTGTTTTCACTAGTCTAGCCCTGACTGATTTCCTTTGCCTTGATACTCCAGGGGTATTCCAGTGTGGTCCTGCCTCACTTACGGCCATCAAAGAAGGAGATGTAGACCTGGACTATGACGCTCCATTTATATTTGCTGAGGTGAATGCAGACCGGATCACCTGGTCGTACAACACCAGTACTACAGAAAAAAAACGCATCTATTCCTACACCAAGTCAATTGGCCATTCCATCAGCACCAAGGCAGTAGGCAGTTACGACCGTGTAGATGTCACTAATGATTACAAATATGAAGAAGGTAATGAAAAATCCTCTGTTTCTTGATGGTAGCACAAAAGTTCTTTCTTAAACTGCTAGAAATATTGTAATGGGAGCCAGTACCTGTGCGAGTTCTACAAGCGCGAGGACACAAGTTACAATAGTGGGTCCTACAGTGCTAAGAAAAGGAGGAAGAGGGAACGTGTAGCATTGTGCCATGCCATTCCTGATATGTCAGCTCTCACTCTTGAGCCCTGGGTAACGTGGCTCTAAATTGCGTTGTGCAAAACATGCCTTGTCTGATCCTGTCCAAGATAACACAGGCTGCTTGAATTGCATTGGCTACTCTACAGCACAGTGATTAGGTTTCTATATAGTACCCCTACAGCCTAAGACAGACAGATAGCAAACTCCACAGGAAGGGCAACCTTTTCAAAGGGGCCTCCCCGGCCTCTAAATTCGCACTTCAGTTTTGTCAGTGGGAACACCTGTCAGCTAAGTTTGCATGTGCACATGGCAATAAGATACAAAGACTGCAATTAAAAATGTGCAAAGGGCACAAGAGCTGATCAATCAAACCCTCGTAATACAGTAGAGTCTGTTCAATTAAACTGCAGACCTGTCAATCTCATCAGCTTAGAGAGCTGCCTCGTGTTGCATAAAAAAGTGAAGCAAGTAGGAATTTCATTTACCCCCTGTACAGCCCCAGCAAAAGTGGGATGAGGGAGGTTTGGGAACTACATGTTAGATCCTCTCTGCAATGAACAGGTTTAGTGCTCTCAAGTATAAGGAGAGCAACTCTGAAATGGATGCGTGCCTATCACCTGTCCAACAGGTTAACAGTAGCTGCTGTAAACAGTTGCTCTGTCTCTCTTGGAGGCAGATTTGCCAGGACCCTTCATCCTGCTGCTTAAGTTAAAAGTGGAGACACAAGGTCTCTCTACCTAGGCTGGGCCCAACAAAAGCAAAGCTACATTGCATACACCATTTAATATTGAGATATTTTAACGCTATTATCATCCTCATCACCATCTGTCTCTCTCTCATAGGCTCTGAGAAGGAAAGAGAGGTGTATCAAAAGGCTGTCGGAAAGCTGCATGTAGGACGTGGTTTTGCTGGCAGATCCATGAAGCATGAAGAGATTGTTCCAAATCCTGAAATCTCTGGGAAGTTCGAGGTGGATGGAGCCTTCAAGGTTGGCAAAGATGTCAAACTAACCTTGCTTCTCAGTAATTTGACCTCTGAGGCTAAGAATATAAAGGTAAATATGACTGCTTGGACCACTGTGTACACCAGGAAGCCAATTCATGAGGTGTGGAAGGACTCCGTATCAGCTACTCTTGCTTCTAAAGAAGGTAATTTTTCATATAATAGTGTCAAAGAAACGAGTTTGTTGGAACAGAATGACAGAATTGGATTTTAAGGTGGGAACACTGAGGGGCTGAAGAAATCTTCTATGAAAGTTGTAATGGGAGAGGGTCTTAAACTGGTACAAAGCAGGGTAAAGTTTGTCTAAAACAGAAAAATGTAAGAAATAATATATTTCCACTGTGGTTCCCAAGCACGACTCAGATAGAGAGGGAAAAGCAAACCAGAAATGAAGAGATGGTGACAATAAACCAGAATACTCGGTTAACAGAAGCAAGCATAGAAAAGAGAAGGAGAGCAAAAAAGCAAGATGAGTTAATGGAAGCCAAAGGGACTTCTGAAACATTCCAAGGACTTTTATAATGCAGGGTACCAGCACAGCAGAATGAAGAAAACTGGTTTATTGGGAGGGTATGAAATTGTTGCCTATTCAATAATAGTGGAAATGCTTTGTTTAAATAATATCTTTAACAAAAGGAAACCCGAATGATTAGTAGGGAAGAGAAATGCTGTAAAATACCTTTGCATAAAGAGCACACAGAGGAAGGCTTGGGAAAAAGCATATACTCACACCCATGTAAAGCAGGTCCAAGTCATGTGCATCTGAGGGAATTAATCCTGGATAAGGCCCGATTGCACTTTGCCATGACAATTAAATAGACACTAACCAAATGCAACGTGGCAGGTTATCTGCCTTATCACCTACCAGGAAGAAAAATGGGGAGGAAAAAGGGGACAGGGAATGAGACAGAAGGGGAATTGAAGAGCCCACCCCCACTTCCTGATAGGTAGATGCACAATGGCAACAGGGGATATGTCTAGACTACATCCCTCTGTCATCAGAGGGATGAAAATTAGACATACCGAAATTGCTAAAGAAGCAGGGATTTTAATATCCCACGCTTCATTAGAATAAAAATGGCTGACGCTTTTTGCTGACGCAGCCCTTTCCCGGCAAAAAGCGGCAGTCTAGACGGGGATTGGCTGACAAGGAAAGCCTTTTCTGGCTGATCCTGTAAACCTCATTGCACAAGGCATGAGGGATCGGTCGGAAAAGGCTTTCCTTGTAGACCGATCCCCATCTAGACTGCCGCTTTCTGCCAGAAAAATGTTGTGTCAGCAAAAAGCGTCAGCCATTTTTATTCTAATGAAGCGCGGGATATTTAAATGCCCGCTTCATTAGCAATTTCGGTATGTCTAATTTTCATCCCTCTGGCGACAGAGGGATGTAGTCTAGACATACCCAGGAAGTGGGGAAAACAGCAGGGAAAGCTCATGCCCTATCTAGGACCAGACACTGGGGAATAGGAAAATGCTCTTTTTAGGTCAATAACAGTTGTCACACTTGCAAATGTGTCTTTTACTTACACTGTCAATTTTTATGTTAACTGAATTTTATTCTTCATTCTTCAGAGAAACGGTTTCCCATTAAGATAGCGTATGCCGAGTACCAGCAACATTTAACTAGCGACAACATGCTGCGAGTGATTGCTCTGTGTCAAGAAGAAAATGGGATTGAAGTGGTGGTGGAAAGGAACATTGTTCTGGAGAACCCTGAGCTTCTCATACAGGTAAAGATCTGCCCCTTTGCCACCTGAAGAGGAAGAGGGCGTCAGCTGTGCTGGACAGCTAATCTGATTCTAAATCCAGTGCTGGGGAAAGGGGAAAGGTAAAGGAGATTCAGACTAGATCTTTTGCTTCCTACAGCCACTGCCTTTCCCATTGGGAGAGATGCTCGGTGTTCATCCTGCCTTAGGGGGATGCCATAAGAGTGCCAAACCTTTGTTGTTATGATTCAACATTTTCAGCTTTAGAGAGTGATCATGCAAGTGTTTGGCCTCTGCAGGTGGTCGGTGATGCCAAGGTGAATGAACCAGTGAATGTGGAAGTGATATTTACCAATCCTCTCGACCAAGAGGTGAAAGACTGCACCCTGCAGGCAGAAGGCAGCGACCTGCTGAAAGGAAAGCTCAAGATAGAGTAAGTAAAAGAAGCATCAACGTCTTGTCAGAAAAGTCACAGATAACAGGAGTTAGGGGTTGGTGTTTTGGAAGCTAATGTTGGCAGGGCTTTTCCTTCTGGCTATAACCAGGGAAGTCTCTGGAAAATGAGACTCAAGAAACCAAACACTTGATTTTTAATACAGTTTCGTTCTTTGCAGCCAAGCAGAGCAGCAGGAAGAAATAGCCTGGCCCGCACCGCTTCCCGTTGCTCCTCTTGGCTGCAAAGGGGAGCCACGAAGCTCTGTGGCACTAGTAAATAAACAAACTGGAGTGACCACTTAATGTGTTTCTCAAAGTGCTTTCGCAGAGCACATTCAAAAACATTGATCTATTGCATATTCACAGTCCCTCTTTAATTGCCACTCTATATCCATCTCCTGTAAGCCGATCTGCAAGAAAACCAGGAATATATGACATGGAAAGGTAGTTTAATAATAGTGCATTTCCAAACATTCCAAAAATTACTGTTTAAAAAAAAGTTTGACCTTCATTTAGAATATCCTGGTATTCAGATGTTTGGGATTTTCTCAGCGCTGCAATTTATTCTTATTCAGGGTGATTCTAGAACCCTCTGTCAATGTCTCAGGTTATTTGCTAAGTCATTAACATGCCTTTATACCTTATTGCTGCCTGAATGAAATTTGACCTGGGACTATATTAAATATGCTTGATCCCTCCGTGTCATCGCTGCAGAGTACATTGATAGCAGGGGGTCTCCAAAGTGACCCAAGGGAGCTAGGTACCCAACTCCCAAGTCAGCATTGGACATCTAACTCTCTTAGGCCCCTTGGAAAGTCCAGTAAATAGCTTCTGCTGGTAGAAATGGATAGGGAGGATGGCTGGCGGGGAAACTAAAATATAAAGTGCAAGGATGTTCTCAACTGATATTTCCCCTTCTGTTTTGGTTTTTAGAATGCCCCCACTAAAGCCCAAGCAGAGCTCCAAAGTGCCGTTTGAGATCTTTCCCACCAAGACTGGAACCAAGCAGCTGCTCGTTAATTTCTCCAGTGACAAGTTTACGGGTGTCAAAGCCTTTGAGACCATAAATGTGGCCAACTGATTGTAGATGTGCAGTGGTCAGTTTGGCTGTGTAATCTTGAGAGAAATCATGCAAGAAAGCTCCTATCTTCTATGAACAATCAGTGACCCATCCATTTCTGTGACAGAAACAAAAGCCACAGCCTGTCTGACAAGAATGATCCTGTTGCATAGTTATACATTCCAACAAACAATGAGGCAGGGATTCTACATAGTAGTATAAATGTTCATATTTTAAATATACTGTCTGAACATCTCTCCCAATCGTGTGTCTGGTTTTCTTATGCCTTTTTTCATTTAGACACTATTCCCTGTGGCTCCAGGTATTGAGAATCCCCTATCAAAGTCAGACCCTCATGGAGGGAGCTACAGTAAAAGCCTATATTGGTTTAACATCAAAGGGTGTTTTCAGTCTCTTTATATGGCAGGCTGGTATCATGGCTTATCTCAGGGGTGGGCAAATACCGACCTGCAGGACAAACCATTCCACCAGAGTTAGCTTCTGGTGGACCCCCCTTTCACCATATTTCTCTGTACCTCCGCAGGTACAGGGGATCACAGGTCCTGTTGGCTGCGAATCGCCATTCCCAGTCAACGAGAGCTCTGATCACCCATACCCGTGGAGGCACAGATAAATATATCGGCAGCAGCCTACCAGGATCTAACCCTTGTGAACTGCCACCATTTTATTGCCCACCCCCGACTTATATTGTGCAGAAAGGACAAGATACAGTAAACTGCCGATAATCCGGCACCTTTAGGACCCAGGGGGTGCCGGATTATCAGATATGCCGAACTATCAGAAGGGGGGGCTATGAGGAGTCGGGGGTGGGGTGGGGGGATGCCACCCCAGACCCGTCATAGCCCCGCTTCTGATAGTCCGGCTCTGCCCCAGGCATCCCCAAGAGCAGCTGGGGTGCTGCCGGGTTGGTCCCGCAGCCCTGAGGGGCAGCGCTC